TATGGGTTTCCACGGAGCACAGTGCCTTAGTGCTCACTCCCCAGTTTTATCATGTTTTTCAGGAACAGTGTCGGATCAGAGGACTGAGCTGGTTGGTGGATCGTGGTCAGAGATAGGGCTAGCAGCCATTGTACATTATTGTACAGCTATGTTTTGCCACATATGACTTCCGCTGTCACTTTACGATATTTCAACTAGCATGTCAGTTTTTATTTTTAAACTGATTTATCAGACAGATTTTTATAAAGTGTTACATGCAAGTTGATCTAAGTTAATCCGTTTATTCTTCAAAGTTAAGTTTCAATAAAGATAACGGATTCTCAAATCAATGAATGGTTTTTAGTAGCATCCCGAAAAGGATTTCGCAAATAAACATGTATTATTAAGAAAAGTTTTGCGAAAAATGCACTCTGATATTTATGGAAAAGCGGGGTGTTACATGCGTGGCTTATATGGGTTTGGGGACTTGTGAAGCAATGAACTCTCTGTCGGTTTTCCCGACTCGGTCTCTGTGTTCTTAGCGCTCTCCTTGGTCCCATTGGGCTGGTCGGTTGATTTAGGGTCATCAGGCTCGGCCATTCTAACTTTGTTATCCACTTCCTTACCGCTTCTCAACACGGTTATTGCTTTGGCTTGCTCTGGCTGGCTCGGAAGTTTTCCTTTGTCAGACTCGGCCTCCATATTCCCGACTCTCGTGGCGAGTTGGCCCACTTGCGTCTCAAAACGCTTAATGGACGAGTCCCGGTTAGTGATAAACTGAAGGATCTTGTCTAGCTTGTCGTCTTGGTTCGACGAGCTCGAACCGGACCCTTGGGCTGGTTGTTGAGATTGCTGCTGTTGCTGGTAGTTCGGGCGAGGGATGAAATTTGGACGAGGTTGTTGTTGCGTGAAGTTTGGTCGGGGCTGCTGTTGGTTGAAGTTTGGGCGAGGTGGCTGGAGAGTGTTGTTGTTGTTGGACCACGAGAAGTTTGGGTGGTTTCTCCACCCGGGATTGTAAGTGTTGGAGAAGGGGTCGTTGGGCTGCCGGTTCTGATATCCTTGAAGAGCATTGACGTCGGCATATTGCTCTCCAAGCTCCTGATCGAATGCCGATGGGCACACCTCTGACTGGTGCCCTTGGGCTCCACACGCCCCGCATGTGTCCACTGCCATGGTTTGTACTGGCTACATTGTCTGAGCGTTCATTAGCCGCATTTGCTCCATCAGCTCAGCTATCTGATGGGCCATCATGTCTCGTCCCGAAGATATTTCATTGACCACCGCTCTCTTTCCTCGACTGCTCTTTTGATACGAGCTAGAACTCAACGCCTCAAAAATATCCATCATCTCCTCCGCTAATCTCGCCCCAATATCTCCACCAGCTGCATTGTCCACCATGTACTGAAGGTTCTGGTGGAGAGAATCATAGAAGCCATTCATCAAAAAGGTTGGAGGAAGATTGTGATGTGGGCACTGTCTCTGTAGGTCCTTGAAGCGTTCCCACGCTTCGTGAAGTGGCTCGTGCGGTTGTTGGGCAATTGAGACAATTTGGGATCGCAGCTCTTGAGTCTTTTGGTGGGAGTAATACCTCCCAATGAACTTTGTGTACACTTGCTCCCAAGTGGTAAGAGAGTCTGGAGCAAGTGTCATCAGCCACGCCTTAGCCCGATCCTTGAGTGTTTTTGGAAAACACCTCATTTTCAACTGGTCCTCATTTAATCCATGGAGAGGAAACGTTTGGAAGACATTGTAGAATTCACGCATGAAATGAAGTGGATCTTCATTGGGAAGACCATGGAAGGATGGGAGTTGGTTGTAGTGGATGGTTTTGAGCTCGTAGTTTTGAGCTGCTGTCCCCAATCGAATGCATGAAGTCACCCGCCCAATCACCGGTTGAGCCAAATCGCGAAGGAGAGACTTAGGAGGATTGTTGACCTCCTCATCTTGTTCATTCTGTGTTATATCGGTTTGGTCTTCTGATGTAGATGATACTGGTGCGAGACTATCTAGTAAGTCTCGTAGTTCTTGTTGGATGGATTCGTTGTCTGGGATGATTACATGACCACTCCTAGTACGCATAAACACAAACAACAAAACGTCACGGGCACCAGGTAGACAACAAAATGAACGAAGAGAAATCAAAACAAATAAAACAATAAAACTAGACAAATAAAACAAAACAAAAGAAACACAAAAATAAGGAATCAAGAGAAACACTGAAATCAAATGAATAGGCGCACAAAATAAGTCTTAAACCTCCCCCGGCAACGGCGCCAATTTATTGTAAATATTTTTACCGGAGTAGAATCGAAAGACTCGAAACTGGGTCGTATCACGAAGAAGGTTAGCCTGAATATATGCACGGATATTCAGTCACAAGAAAATGGAAAAGAATTTCCTAAACACTCTAATTCAAATTTTGGGGTTTTGATTATCAACTACGAATAATAAAAACAAGCTAGCAATTTCAAACTTCCAAATTAAAGTTTAAATTCGAATAATGACAGAGAGGGCTAGGGTATCGGGGATATCGCTTCCGGTTCTCAAAACAATAGACAATTACTCAACTAAAGGACTCATGAACTAACTCATCTAGAGGTTCATTCTCAATATCTCACGAAACAAGAGAATAAACGTAAACAAATCAATAACGAATCAATTAGAATATAGACAATACGTTACGGAACAAGTCTATTCTTAACGAGCCTAGGTCGAACGATTTCTCCCCTTTCGGTTTCGAAATCGATTAATTAGATTAAGATGGTGATCAATCATCTAAACCTTAGGTTAAGCACAACTCGAAAAGATAAAGCAATGAATCAACACATAAACGAAATCGAACCGGAACGATTATCCCCTAACCCTAGCTATTGGAATTAGCCACTCATTGCAATCTTAACACCAACATCCATAATCAAACCAAACATCATATTCATAATCAAAATTAAAAGTGGTGCTTACGATTAATAACAAATCCAATGTCAAGAGAAAGCAACGAACAACTGAAATCCGAGCTAAAATTGGAGTTTTTATGCTCCAAGATCAAATCCAAGATGAAAAGTAAAGAAGAGATGTGTTCTAAGGTGAAAAACTTTTAAAAAC